TTAACGGAGAGTCTCCAGACTGATCTGCGAGTGAAACCTTGAAAGCTCGCGACATCAGGATGGTCTCACGAGGCTAGTTTTCTAAGCCAAAACAAGACTTTCTTGGGCTACTCTATAAAGATTGGAACTCAACGCTAATTTAGACATGGATTCTAGGATTGAAAGTGAAAAGTCTTCAAATTAGGAAAGTCAAGTAGATTTTTTCATGAACTTTTTTGGAATGATTATGAATGGCTACGACCTGGATGACTGAGAATCTCCACCAGCAAGCGAGATTCCAGAATAGCTGTTAGGAAAAAAATGATCTGAAACACACTTCAGGTCAATAACTAGAATTTATTTACACGTTGCAAGATTAACAAGTGGTCAGCAAGTTTTCCAAAGCTAGAAAGAATCATACATTTCCTTATATAAACACAGTGTGCAGTAAGAGCCAAACAAATGGGGAGGCTGGTTGTCAGTAAAAATACATACTTTAGCTGTTGAGTCTATTTTAGATATCTCTTTAAAAAGCTTCCATAAAGCACATATTGGAAATATCCCACCCATCTGAACTCCCAGACGGATACCAAAGCCTTGTCTTTGACAGACTTAACGGCTTTCGGGCTCTTCCAAGGTTAATCACTGGAATGCATCAAGCCATCGAGCAAATATCAAAATTCAAGTACAGGTTTGTTGATTTTTGCTGCTTAGAATTTAAATGGAAACAGGACACGCTAAAAACACAAACAACTTGGCTTAACCTGTAAGACATGTGACTGTGTTTCAGGAGGCTGGGGGTTAGCAAGGAACCACGGAAAGATGAAGAGTAATGCCTTTAATAAAAAGAAAGACTTTAGACAATCGGAGGCACCGTGCAGCAATCCTCCCAGCCGACCAAAACTACACTGATGCTTCTTTGTGCTCCATTGATCCTTTTTGATTTTAAATATTCCTGTATCGGAGCCGTTAAGCAGCAGCCATAACACGCAATTAATTTACACACAGCACAGACACACATGAAGCTAAAGAGAAGGTAAGGCCCTGATAAGACCCTGGTCATGCCGTGATAAAGCTGGATGGTTTATGGTGCGGATCTGCGGTTTACAGCAATTACTCCAACAGAAGGAGGCTGCTGCTGAGTTATCTATGTACCTTTTCCATTTATAAAACTAAAGACCTTTTAATTCAGAGAGTAGAGCTGGGATCAGACTCTACACAGGAAAAAATAAAATCTAAATAAGTCCTTTTTTTCTTAAAAAAATAAATAAAGCGCATTTGTTCTTTAATTGAGGTGGTAAGTGAGACACTTTGCCGTGGAACAAGAAAATTTACATTTAAAATAGGAAAAAATAAACACATTGTCTTATTTCAAATGCATATTATCTAATGATCTTATTTTAAGAGTAAAACTACTCATTCCATTGGCAAATCATCTTATTTACCCCCTCATATTAAGGGTAAATACACTTTATTTAAGAAATTTTGAATTATATCTAGATTTTCTTTGCAGTTTAAACAGGCCTCATTGTCAGAAGGTTCAATGTTGATCTTATACACTGCAAAAACGATCTAAAAATTAGTAAAAAATGTCTTAAATTAAGTGTATTTACCCTTAATTTGAGCAGGTAAATGAGATAGTTTGCCAACGGAATGAGCAATTTTACTCTTAAAATCAGATATTTAGATAATACGCACTTGAAATAAGACAATGCAATTGTGTTTTCTAAAGTGTAAATTGTCTCGTTCCATTGGCAAAATGTCTCCTTTACCTCCTTATTCCAAGAACAAATGCATTTATTCTAAGAAAAAAATGACTTATCTAGATTTGGATTTTTTCCAGTGTAATAAAATAATGTTTAATATTCAGTGTAAATGTAGGTGTAAAGTTCAGTGGTGTTAGGGTGTTAAAAATAAATATGTGAAAAGTGAAACATATCGGATAAACAAGTAAGCCAAGCATTTAGAATTGAAAAAGTTTCCTGGATGGGAAGGGAAATGTCTTCAAACTTGGAAACAAAGTCCAGTGGATTGTTTTTTAACTTTTTTTTGGAAAGTAACCTAAGAAACAGCAGAAAAATTAGGTTTTAAAATCTCATTTTTACTTTGGGAATTCTGTGGTCTTGAAGCTCAGCAGACCTGTTCGTCTGAAGTTGGTCATCAGCAAAACAAAGAGATTGTTTTAGCATTCGAGTGATTCTTAGAAAGGAAAATGTTTTTTTGTGAGGAAAAGAGGAAAGAAGAAACTGACTGAATGAGAAGCAACAGAATCTCGGAAAGATGAGAAAGAAAAGTTGGTGTTTTTCTCAGGAATTCGCCGTCATTGTGAAACGTTACATCGTGTTAATGTGAACTCAATACTTTTTAGCTTCACACTGGTATAGAAACTGTAGAACTTTGGTTTTTTCAGTGTGAACTGTGGGGAAAAAAAGTGGAAAGAGACATTTTATTTTGCAGAGTCTGTTATTCAGTTAACAACCAAACAGCAGAAGGTTAATTGAGCAAGCAGCTGCTAACATGGAGCTGCTCGGTCAGCTCCATGGGTCTATTAGTGCAGATCAATGCACTTTATCCGTGTTTGATTGTCCAACACGGGAGGCAGTTCTGCATGCAAACCAAAGTGTATGACTTGGCTGAGAGTTCACTCCACAGGGTGCACAGCGAGGACTACGACTCCTCCTCCTCGCCATCATCTTTCAAATGACTGCTGTATCTGTGCTTGGAGCCCGGGGTCCCAGGAGCATCTTCCTCATCATCAGATCTGTCAGTGCGGGAGCGCCATCGGCTGGGGGAGCTGGAGCAGCAAAGACAGATAGGAGACAAAGGGGATAAACAAGTCAAAAAGAAAGAAATTCACATCATCAGGAACTATGAGCTTCAACCAAAGGAAAGGCAGGCAGGGAGGCTATACTGATCCTCCATCACAGTAGAAATGTTAGTTGAACTCCTTCTTATCTCAGTGTTTTAGTTGGTTCAGTTCCTTCTGCAGAGATCAGTCCATTGTGTAGCTCTTGCTTCACATGCTGCTAACTTCAGCTAATACATGATATGACTGCAGACACGTGACAGTTTAAATTCAAAGCATGCATGTGACGACAGGAACAGTTGGATCAGCACGCATGGTTCCACTTTCTGTCCACTTTCTGACAGCAAAGTCAACAGAAACACGACCACCGAGGTTCGACTCAGACTATTAACATTAGGAGAACCTGATCAAGAGACGAGATCGTCTTTTCTATCCACACCTCCTACTTCCACGGACTGATCCACTCTGAACCACAGCTACCAACAAAGACTAAATTATTCTGACAATAAAATCTGTGGAAATCTGGAAAAATCTAAAATTCTAGGAGCTATTTAAAAAAAAAAAAACGAATGAATATAAACAGGGTCAGGGGTCGGTAACCCATGGCTCTTTAGGGCCCCCTTGTGGCTCACTGGAGCTTTTCAAAAATGTATGAAAATACATTTATTTGTTTATTGTTTATTTTATTATGGTGTGCAGGAGCTCTGACAAACATTCATATATTTTTTTTTCAAATCCTGGAAACATTTGTATAATAAATAAAGTTAAATAATAAATGTAAAAATGTCCGTCATAGCCACAGAGATCAGTGGTCACAGCCTGCAGCACACGTTTCAGCGCAGGCAAAAAAAGCGACGGGTTTGTCTCAGACCATGGATCCCAAAGAGGAAAAACGAAGATAGCTGATGAGAACAGAGGATTCAAAGAAGAATGAACCGAATCATTTGCTTTCATCATCAATGTGGAAGGATTGCATTTATGCTTTGTAATGAGAGTTTGTCAAAAAATAAAGAGAGTAATTTGGAAAGGCATTTCCAGGGAAGGCATGCTAAATATGCAGCCGATCATCAAGCTGGGAGTGAAAGAAAAAGTCAGTTTGCAGAACTTCTGGATAAAGTAAAGGAGAGCAAAGATAGATTTAAGAAGTGGATTGCATCTCCAAACTCCGCTACTGCTGCTAGTTTTGTTGCAAGCATAGAAAACCGTTCATAGATCCAATAGGTAGGGCTAACATGCAGGTATGTGAATTTTCTTCATTTCCCCCCCCAAAATCCCTTAAAATAAAAACAGCACCAAGGAACGCTGGTGGTGGAGGATGTGGGATTTGCTCTGCTCTGATGGATCAGTTCCTGCTTGGTTCCTCATGACTCAACAGAAACTCGTCCACCATAGAAAGATTCCTTTATCGTGTTTCTATAATTTCATCATTGCAACAAAACCTAATAATACAAACCGCGTGGTGAAGCGATACGCGGTGAGAGCGCTCACTGCTCCACCCTCACCTCACTATCTGACATTTGCGGCAGGATAAACAGTTAATCATGACTGCTTATTTTATATTTAAGCCCATGTACATTTATCTAATATTTTTTGTAGTGGGCTAATACACTTAGAGCCTGTGTTCCCATACGAGGATTATAGAAGACTTTTTGCAGCTCCAGACAGATTTTATTATAATTTTTTTTTTTTGATCCAATATGGCTCTTAGAGCAGTTTGGGTTGCCGACCCGTTTTAGAGGAACTAAACAAACTTAAAACCTTTGATATGCAGAGAAGTTTAAAGCGTGTGGAAATAAGCTGAGGATATATTTCATTACGTCCTGACTTTCATATTCTGTTGTTCTGTAGAGGAATAGAAAAGGTTCTCAATTGAAACTCAAACTGCCACCATGTAGTAACAAAGTGGGGATCCACACATCCACTCTGTGATTGGTTAGGTCACACCATGCTTCAAAGCATCCTCCAAGCCAGGAACCTACTGTCTGCCTCAGTCGCTCTCATTCTGGTACAAGTACTTCATCATCAGGCTGTCCACCTTCTTCTTCCTCCTTTTCTCGCTCCCTCTCCGGGTCTCCTTGTCCTCGTCTGGACTGAGAGCAGATTTATCCAGGGCTTTTTTCACACTACTGCAACTCCGGTAGGAGATGGTGGATGCATCAGAGCTGGAGGAGGAGCTAGACTCTGAATCGGATTCGGATGATGTGGAGGATGAGGCATATTTAGAGGAGTTTCTGGACCTTCTTCTCGAGCTGCTCCTTGGAACAGGATCGTCTCCAGAGCTGTGAGAATCAAAGCTTCGGCTTCTCCCCTTTTTCTTGCCCTTTCTTTTCCTCCTGCTGTCACGGTGATTGCTGCGGCTGCTGGCACTGCGGGACGATCTCATGAAGTCCATGGCAGACTCAGAACGTCCAAGACTGCTGCTGGGATACATCCTCTCTCCGTTCTTACTACTTTGACCCTGATCTTTACTCCTGGATCTTGTTTCATCTTCAGAGTCTTCCAAGCTCCTCCGCTTGACTTTTATTGGTTTAAAACTCAAAACTTCATTGATGGCTTTCTCCAAATCAGGGTCTAGGTAGTTCTGATGACGGACGGGCCTGATCTCCGAGCTATCGAGTGGCTGATTGGCAGAAGCGGACCTGTCTCGTGGTGGTGGCATAGAGCAACTGCGACCAATGAAAGAGAGGGGGCTGTATGTGGACCCCTCAGTTAGGGACACCCTTCCTCTGTCATCCAGATCAACGCCACCATCCCCAAGGCAACAGCTGCCAACCAGCGATACCCGGGAATTGGGTTGGACAGCACTTCCCGGACTTTGACTCCTTGATCTCTTACTAAAGCTCAGGCTACTGGGAGGGCTGCCTCTCAGTGACACACTGCTGCTGATTCCATCCATCCTGCTGCCAGGACGGACCTTCTGCCCCAGGTTCATCTCAGGAAGTGTGGAGGACCAGCCTGGCTTAGCCAGCCAGCTAGATGCTTCTGGATCAAACTGACCCCTCCGACTGTCCTTCCTGATGCTGCTGGCCTCTGAATGGACGGAAATGACTGACTGACCGTCACTTTGGTCGTGTAGGGAAGGAGGACGGACTGGGTCGGGATCAACATGACCTCTCTGCTTTAGCAGATCAGTTCTGGATCTGCTCCTCTTGAAACTTGGGACGTCATCTGGCTCTGCTTTCTTCTCGCTTTGGCCTTCAATGAAGTCTAGTTTTGATTGTTTTCTGTAACTCAGAGAGCCCAAAACAGTAACTGGCTTGTTTGTCTTTCCCTCTCTGTGCTCTTTCTGTGCATCTTTGACCTCCTTTATGTCTGTTTTAACAGCATATCTAGAAGGATACAGGTACAGCAGGTGAACCAAGGAGGACAGATGAGGGGAAATTTAAAAAGTACTAATTCAATAATGTCAGAAAGGAAAGAAGTCTGCTAAATGTACAGGAGTCTGGAGCTGACCAGAGTATCTGACCACACCTTAGCTTCCATTGCTTCCAGTCAAATAATGTCTGACGGATAAACAAGACAACTTCTACAGAAAGAGCAGAAACATTTCCACTGACCTGCGGCCCTTCAGGCTGCCGTCATCTGACAGGTTCTTGGCAGAGCTGTCATTTTTGGACAACCAGGACTTCACTCCGTCCACCCGATCCTCCAGCTCAGAGTCTGTATCCGACTGGCCCTGACTGGTCAGAGCAGATCAGAGAAAGAAGAGAAGTTAGAAATGGTAGAAATCAGAGAAAACACGGGTGTGGACGTGTTAGTCAGCTGCAGACTGCCCTGACATTCAGAAATTAGGAACAAAGCATGTGGTCAATAGGAGGGCCCAAGAAAACAGACTGAAGTGGTGGTGGGGAGGCAGAGCATCCATCCATCCATCCATCTATCTATCCTTCAAGTGGAGATCTACATTTTCCTTCACTCTGGGGGTTAATCTCAATCTGCATCACACATCAGTTAAAAAGGAGAAATTTTATTCTGACTTCATGTTTTAAAATGCAGTTAATAGCAGGAGAGTTAATGAGACTGGATGGGAAGACATGCAATAAAACAGTAAAGGTTGGTTATGGGGACAGGTGAACCTTGTTGATTTACAACCAAGCAGAGCCAGGATGTATCAGTGCATATTTGAAAAAACAGATAGGGAAAACCAAAGCCAGGTGCTGCTGTAATGTTTGGAACCGTTTGGAGATGCTAGATGCATCATCGTCTGCAGCAAAGCACAAAACAACACATGATCCTCACGTTCGGTTTCTTCTTCTCTGGTACTTTGCCACCATGTCCTGCAAACTGGCCGTAGTGATGATGGTTACGATGAAAAGGTAGAAAGGAGAAAAATAAAAGACAACAGAAGGACATGAGATGAGAATCGTGTTAAATGAACTGCAGAAAGGTGAGCGGTGTTTTGGGTGTGATGGTGAGAGGTGGATGGATGCTGGGATCAATGGTGAGATGTTCTTTCCTTCACTGAACCGGAGCTGTTTTCAGGAATCATGTCTGTTTCCTGTTCATGATACAGAAAATCTCTCTTTCTTGTTCTGGGTGGCTTAGCATGCAGCTCAGAGGTTTATCCATGTAGTTTTGGTCTTCCATTTTTTTTTTTTGCCATGAAAACCTTCTTTCCTGGAGAGATCTAGCTCTATGGAGGGGTCCACTGTTTCTAGGGCTGAAACAATGAATCGCATTAATCATGATTATTGAAATAACTGTCAACTAAATTACTAATCTATTAATCGTTAACTGGAGCGTCTTTAGGTAACAGAGGAACCCACTTAGAGTAATACTTATATCAACATTGTAAAAATAAATATGTAAACGTTTTGCATTCAAGATTAAAAAAAGAAAAATTCTGTCAATATCTATCCAGAACTCCTTAAGTTTTCATTTCACCTGGTTTAATTTAGTAAAAAAACCTTTAAGGAACCTTTTGCTATATGATAATTAATTGAAAAAATAATCAACAGATTAATCGATTTTCAAAGTAAATCATTAGTTGCAGCCCCAACTGTTAGCTTATATAACAAAGAAAGTGTTCCTGCATCGCTGCCTCTTTCTTCTGTCTGTGCTCTGTCCTCTCAGTCGGCCGCAGCAGACGGCTGCTGACACTCAGCCTGGTTCTGCTCTCAGTTTCTTCATATTAAAAGGAGATTTTTTTTTCTCCATTGTTGCCTCATGCATGCTCGATATGAGGGATTGCTGCAGAGAATCTAATGTTGCTTCACTCTCCAGGAGGAGAGAATCCTGCAAAGTCAATCAGCTGGTTTTCCATTAACCAACCAGTCTGTATGATTTGACTCACTTGAAACATTGAAATGAAATTTTTCGGTATTTAAATATGGATAAACTGAATTATATATTGTACAGGAAGCCTAAGAACATTGATAGGGCCTCCCATCGGTGAGGGGGCTGCTGGAAAAACAAACTTCTATTTGCTTTTTTATTTGCAAAAACAGATCAGTTGGACTGATTCAATCTAAATGTAAGGTAACCCCTTTAGAAAATCCTGAATCTGCAGGAATCTGAACACTGCAGGTTCTCAAGAGAAGAAGGTAAAGCTTTACAGCTAAGTGACGATTTAGCCCGCTGGACTTTCTACGTATTTTTTTCAATTTTGGGCGTATACATAGCGTATTCATAATGAGTCCAGAACTTATGTCCTAACTTATGCATAATGCATGGCAACGTAATGTCTTTGAAATGATGCACAGAACAGTGTCCTGAGGTCAGCAGTCTGAAACACGTCAAATATGCTGATATGCGTTGGAGATAAGTTCTTGATAAGTTATGCATAGGTTATGCACAAGTTACTCATAGATGAACTAGATGCCACGACTTGTGAGTAACTTACACTTAACGTATGTCAATGATTAGATAACTTAGCCGTAACATATGCCCTATGAATGAGCATACGCTCGCACAATGTACTTGCTGTAGGTCAACGTGTGCCGGCGTGCTTCAGCGTCCTCATAACTTTTATAAAACATATCCCATCTACGCTGTCTAAATCGTCAAATTGAGTTGAAGACTAATTTATTGATCTACATATGAATAATACCTAGCTCACCTTGAAGGGAGGGGATCTTTTTTCTAAATAACCATAAACTATCACCATTAATCAGTTTAACTGGGTTTTTTTTTTTCAGTATAAACTCATAAACTGGTTAAAGATGTTGGAACCAGTTTTAACTGCAGTAAAGAAAAGATGTTAAAAGCTCATTGCAAAAATGATCTAGAAATAAGTAAATATATCTTAAATTAAATATATTTACCCCTAATTTGAGTAGGTAAATAAGATTATTTGCCAATGGAATTCGTATAATATCTCTTAAAATAAGATCATTATATAATATGCACTTAAAATAAGGCAATGCGATTGCTTTGTCTTATTTAAATGTAAATTTTCTTGTTCTATTGGCAGTGTTTCTTTTACCTCCTCAATTCAAGAAAAAAAAATTCACTTATTTTAAGAAAAAATAACTTATTTAGATTTCAATTTCTTGCAGTGCTATCAAACCTTTGAACATGGGCGCCCCTGATCCTCTGCTATGTTTTGCTGGGTATGGCCTCTGTACCTGTTCATAATGTCTTCGTTCTCATCGCTCTCCATGTCGTCCTCGATGGCAGCCTGCAGGTCACCGATCCTTTTGAAGGCCAGCTTCAGGTCTGCCTGGAGGCTCTGATTCGCAGCCTCTAGACTCTCAATATCCATCTCCTGATTAAAGGGTCAAAGGGAAATCTGGTCAGTGAATTTGGCACCCAGGAGCACCTCTTGGCAGGACGGACTCTTCCTCTACAGTTTCCGTTATTCTTACCAGCTCATGTTTTTTGTGACTCGCTTCTGCTTCCTTCTTAGCAAGTTCGCCCATCTCCTCTTTGATGTCTCGGATCTGTCTCTGCAAACGTTTATTTTGCTCCTTCTCGCGATTCTCGCTGGTGATGCGCTGATCTCTTTCCTCCGTCAGCTTCTCCACGTTCTCCTTTAAACGAGCTACAAGGTTCTGTATAGAAAAAGGTTGCAAACATGTTCCAGCCTAGTTAAATGTTTGGAGGTTGACCTGAACTTGATTAAAGGGTTCACAGTGACTTTATGAAGATTGTTACCAGTCATGCATAGGCAGTCATGCATATACGGCTTTGCTTTGAAGGAAGGTGAAGGAATACTTCATAGCATTATTACTTCGAGGCAATATTTCACATATTTTCCTAGAGAAGACTTTAAAAAAACACGATATAGGAGTTTTAATGTAACGTAAGTAATTATTAGGCCCATTATTGTTATTAGAGCTACACTGATAAACGAATCTGTAGATTTGGTGGTTCTATAGTCTATTTAGTGATGTAAATCTGATTGGTCATCTGAGCTCATAACATTAACTAAAATATCCCTGAGAAAAATAAATCTAAAAAGTGCTTGTTTTGTTGTTTTGTTGCTGGATCAGTTTGGAGAACTGTTCAAGAGTTTGTGATGAATCTTGCCGCGCTGCACATCCATAAAGTGAAACCATAATGGGTCACGGAACAGAAGGATGACCTCAGGAACCATTTAGTTCCTATGCTCCACTTATCTGGAACAAACTTCCAGAAAACTGTAAAAGTGCAGAAAGCCTGAGTTCCTTTAAATCAAGACTAAAAACACATTTGTTTAGGATTGCCTTCCACTGTTCTAGTTAAACAGTTCAACTAAAACATCATTAATTCAACTTTTTTATTTTCCTTAGTCCAACTGTTTTTAATATGCTTTTTTGTTTCTGCATTTTTTATTTCATTTATTTTTTCCTACTTGCTTTGATTCTGTTTTATTTTCCTATATTTTAATCATGTAAAGCACTTTGCATTGTCTTTGTACTGAATTGTTCTATACAAATAAATTTGCCTTGCCTTGCCTCATTGCACACTGGGAAATGGGCTCTACTGAATGTCACAACGAAGATACAACAAAGACTGTTTTTGGTGCAGTTCTACAACTTTTTTATTATAATGCCAACAACATGGATTTACTATAAAAAAAAAAAAAAAAAATCCCCCCATTACAAAATTCAAATAGTTATTTGAAGATGATTAGGGCCACCTTAAGGAATATTCATTAAGAAAATAAGGACATGAATTAGTTCTTAGGTCAGCAGCTACTGTCCAGCCATGTTTACTCACCTCTAGCCGTTTGACCTGCGTCTTTTCAAACTCCATTTTGGTCTCCAGCTCCCGGATCTTGGCTTCCTGTCGATTGGCGAGGGACTTCTCAACCGTGGACTGTTCCTGGAACTCCAGCTGGCTCTGGAGGACCTGCATCTGAGTCATAAATGCACATCTCAGTGGTATTATATCAAATATTGTCTTAAATGATATAAAATCCTGAGTAAAAAAAAAAGAAGTTTTATTCTAAAAGAGCCTCAGTATCAAGATATTTATTTCCTTGAAAGTTGGTGCTTTGAAAATGGAAATGTCAGAGATTTAAGGCAATAAGCTCGACCAAAACCAAACTACGCCTGTAAATAAACAAGATAAATAAATCAAGAACAGCTCAACAGTCATCAGGCCTGAATGCAAACATCTGACATTTGTGTAAACATTAATAATACTATTTACAGTTTAAATAATGCTGCAGATGTTACTATGTCTGGTGTGTCTGACCCTCCTGCAGTATCTCTGTCTCTGCAGAGAAACAGTTTTGGACAAACAAGTCCAAAGTGTTTCTTACATTTTTCAAACCAGCACTTGCTAGCATTAAATGTGCTTGGTACATTTCCTGTTGCTAGCATTAAATGGCCTGGCATCTGCATTCTCCTGCTCCTCCCTGTCATGAACTTCATGGCTGTCAGCAGAAGTTTGTTACAGTGTTTGAGCTTTATAACATTCACATCCAGCATAATGTTCTTTTTTCTGCAGTCATTAATCCACAAAGCTGACCCAGAACCCATCCTTACCATGCTCTTGTTGCATCCTAATTAAAACTTATTGCTGCTGTCGTCCATTTGTTATTTTCCTTCTTTTTTATGGAACGAACGGAAGATTCATTAATTTCGTAATGGTGACCTACAGCCATATAGCTTCTTCCCTCCTTTAGCATGTCCAGAAGTTTATCTTTTTCTGCAATAGTTTTCTCCTCCTCTGCCTTTTGGGCCCGTCTACAGGTGCCTTTGTCGGTGCAAAACGTTTTGTTGACAATATGGGTTTAGGAGAAAATTTGCATACTTAAATTTGGCAAGCTGTTTTAGGTACATATGTATACACATGTATATCAAAATATTAAACCGGTAGAGAACATGTGTGGAGATTGTTTAGCCAATCAGAATGCAGAACACAATGCAACTCCGTGAAGCATCGAGGCCATGAAAGGTGAAGCGCGTTATAGCAAAGGTACACTGTAGACTTATTATCTCCATATAGTGATCACCTGAACTGTCATCCTTATTAAGGTACGGATGGATTCTACTGAGCTCATTTCTTCTTGTCTGTAGGTGATATAAGTTGATCTGTTAAAACACCAACTTTAGGGAAATTAGTGCAGCAGAAAGCCCAGAAAGTGTTCAGTGAGCAGAAGCACCAGCATCGGGACAGCAACAGTCACTAGATCTAAAGGTCGGGGACACCTGATGTGAAGAGGCTCCAGGAGCTCTGAGCTGGACTTATACATATCATCTCTGACTGAGATAAATCTGAGCAGCTCATTTTTTCCTCATCCAGGTGGACACTCACCTTTTCCTGAACCTCCTGTTTCTCCCTGAGGGCCTCCTCCAGCTGAGTCTGAAGATCGTTGATCTGAGCCAAGTTCTGAGCCAACTGAAACCAGAACACCAACAGAGAAAGGTCAGGACATGGAACCAAACATTTTCTGCTGAACACTCAGTTTATTTTATCAAATAAAAACGTGTCTTTACATTCAATTTGAACCTGATTTAACTGCAGGTGGGTTGATGTTTGGACCGTTATTTCTCTGGAAACCATCTGGGCGACATTGGTGAGAAAAAAGTTCTCTCTCTGCTGAGGCCAAACAGCTTCTTCTGCCATTGACTCATTTTTTTTGAACAAATTGGGACCTCAGAGTACCCATAAAACCATCACTAACAGCCTTAACCTTTATCAGCTCAGTCACACACTGCTATGAAAGGCATCCATCCCTTTAAATCGCACCCATCACCAGTCGGCCAGAAGGGCAACAAAATCTCCAGACCTGAATTAAAGATCAGTTCAGGCCACAAAAACTTGCTTAAAATCGGCCCTAGAAAAGACATAACTGCATGCATCTGCATTCTTAAATCTTTGTCACATCCTTTCACTGCTTTTCTCATGACCAGGCCCTCACCTGGGCAACAGCAGACTTGTGCTTTTTCATCAGTTCATTCAGGTCCTCCTGGTCCTCCTCCATCCTGGACTGCAGGTCGTTCTTCTCTCTCTGAAGACGGCTCAGCTGCTCCTCCAGCTGACAGACAGAAAGCAGCACACTGATTAGCCTCAAGTCCTGTAGAGCGTTAATACAGCTGAAATATGGTTACTAACAGCCTGAAAATAATCTTTTAGGAAATGGAGAGAAAATGTTTTGCCCTCAACAGAACCAAAAAGATGATGTATTATTTTAGATGTTTAAGCAAACTGATATTGATTTGGATGTTATCACACAACAACACAGGCATAACCCGCATGTTTACATCAGGAAGCTGATGTACTTTTGTAGAATGATGTAGAAAACACTTATGAAACGGACACCTTTAATCACTTAAACGTTTTCTAGATCAGTCTACTTCAGGTAAAAACACATTTCAAGCTTAAAACACATTTTCTTAGCAGGCCAGGAGTAGGAGGTGAAAGGAATGGTTTGGACTATGGGTCAGCATTGCAAAACACTTTGCAGTGATCAACTAGTGAAGCTACAACAGCTGGAAATATAAATAAATGCGTTAAAAGGAGGTCTTAGAGGAAACATGCTGGTCTTACTGTTGATTAAATCAGTATCAGCTTCGCAACATGCCCATGTTTACTTATCTACTTAAATCCCAAATTGTAGGTTTAACAACTTCTTCAAAGAGCATCTCTTATTTTAAATCTTACCCCTACCTCTGTAACCATCTACTACTCTTTCTGCTGTCACCACTGATTCTGACAACGGATTTTCCTCTAGAGAGCTTACCTTCATTTCCATGGTAACTCTAAAATTCTGCCTACTTTGTAAGTCTCTTTGGATAAAAGCATCTTCTGAATGCATAAACATAAAAATACCGTATTTTCACGACTATAAGGTGCATATAAACGTCTTTTTTTTCCCTCAAAATGTGCGGTGCGCCCTATGTGTGTTGTTACTGCGGACGTTTGAGACCACCATGAGAACGTTAAAGGGGGAAGTGTGGGCGTGGATTGTGTATAAAAGAACAGGTATGTGCTTTATGCAGAACTCCTCATCTCCTCATTGAGGAGATGATGAAAGCGTGGCTGAGGGAGGTGAATGTAAGGAGTGTTTTTTTTCCACGCATCACCATTGCTGTGACTCCATGCGTGCCCATCTCACAGCCGATGTGAAAAACATGGTGAAACAAATGAACGCTGTGCTCGCTGTTATCCCGGGGGGTCTGACAAAGGAACTTCAACCGCTCGACATCGGTGTGAACTGGCCGTTCAAAGAAATGCTGCTTTCACGCGTCTGCTGCTTCATTTTTGCTGCTTGTACCAGTTAGTTCTGACGCGCGGCTGAAGCAGCTTTGCTTGTCTGACTCGCGTTGGGTGGAGCTACTCTATCCTTTCTTTGCCTTGCAGCTATATTTGCTGTGAACAGTGGGAATAAAGTATTTTTAAAATGTTTTTAAGTGAGAAAGTCCACCTGAAAACTTAATCATTGCAGTCAGTTCATCCAGATTACAATCCCACCTTCCAATATTAATTCTGTCGGAGGCGCTCAGACCCCCACATACCAGCGGTGTGTGGGGGTCTAATTTTGCTACTCTAATTTTGAAATATTTGTAGTTTTTT